AAAAGATGGCGGTCATAGATTCTGTGTTGATTTCCGAAAAGTCAATGCTGTCACTGAAACTGATGCCTATCCTCTCCCAAACATCAATGAAATCCTTGAGTCACTTTCTGGAGCCACAATCTTCTCTACGATTGATTTGAACAGTGGATACTGGCAAGTACCCATGGATCCTGAAAGCAAAGCAAAAACTGCATTCATTACACATCGTGGACTGTATCACTTCAATGTGATGCCCTTTGGACTCAAAAATGCTCCCGCCACTTTCCAAAGACTAATGGAGAAAGTCTTGGAAGGGCTCAGAGGAAATATCTGTCTAGTCTATCTAGACGATATCATTGTGTACTCATCATCTGTGACTCAACATCTTGAGCGGTTACATACTGTAATCGATCGTCTCTGCAAAGCAAATCTGACTGTTAATCTTAAGAAATCTAGGTTCTGTCTGAAAGAAATCAGATTTCTTGGACACATTGTCTCTGGTAAAGGTGTCAGCGCTGATCCTGACAAGGTCGAGGCAATTCGGTCCTATCCGGTACCGACAAATCTCAAGGAAGTCCAGAGATTCTTGGGGCTGGCAGGCTGGTATCATAAATTTGTGCCAGACTTCTCGAAAGTTGCTCAGCCTTTGAATGACCTAAAGAAGAAAGGAAAACCTTTCATCTGGAGTTCAGCATGTCAGTATTCCTTTGACAAACTCAAGTCAAGCTTGATTTCTCCACCTGTCCTTGGTCATCCTAATCCAGACCATCCATTCTTAGTCTATACTGACGCAAGTGATGGGTCTTGGAGCTGTGCTTACTCAGAAAAAAGACGATGGAACTGAGGAAGTTATTGCTTATGCAAGTCGAACCCTGAATCAAGCGGAAAGGAATTACTCAGTGACAGAGAAAGAGTGCCTTGCCGTCATCTGGGCTCTAGAAAAATGGCAGCATTATCTTGAACTGAAGCTATTCACTGTCATCACCGATCACTCTGCCTTGAAGTGGGTCCTTTCATCAACAAAAACCACAAGTCGCTTGATTAGATGGTCACTGAGGTTGCAACGTTTTGACTTTATTGTGGAGTACAGAAAAGGAAAGTTGAACGATGCTCCTGATGCCCTCTCAAGAATTCCATCTAAGGTTGTTTTTTGTCTGTACTCTCCAAATGGTGATGAGATTACTCCGATATCCCTTAAAACCATTTGTGAAGAACAACATAAGGACACTAACATAGAGCAAGTTATGAAACAGCTTGCTGAAGGAGATATCAAAGTGGAGCAGGATTTTGTGATCCGGGAGGATAAGTTGTATCATAAAACACAAAAATCTGAAAACCAGTTCCATTATCGGCTTTGCATTCCCCGTAGTCTGGTTCAACAATTGCTCATGAACTATCATGAAAATCCCTTGAGTGGACATGCTGGAATCTTCAAAACCTATAAAAGGTTATATGAAGTGGCATATTGGCCTGGAATGTGGACTGATGTGAAACTCTTTATCAAGCAATGTGTTGTTTGTCAAAGTCTGAAAGCAGATAACCAAAAACCTGCTGGAAAGTTGCAACAAACCACTGTCAATGGCCCGAATGAAATGCTTGGGATTGACCTCATGGGTCCGTTACCTAGAAGTTCAGAAAGGAATGAATATTTGCTTGTGATCGTGGATTATTTCACTCGTTGGGTGGAATTCACCCCCCTGCGAACTGCTACAGCCACGACCATAGCCCGCTACCTGAGGAAAGATATTTTCACAAGATGGGGAATACCTGACTACATCTTGTCTGACAGAGGACCTCAATTTGTGTCTTCTATATTTCGTGAACTCTGTAACCAGTGGACTGTGATTCCCAAGCTCACCACAGCATATCATCCACAGACCAATATGACGGAAAGAGTGAATCGTACTCTAAAAACTATGATAGCCTCTTACTTGGATGACAATCATGGTAAATGGGATCAATACCTTCCGGAATTCAGATTTGCCATAAACTCCGCTGTTCAGGAAACTACAGGTGTAACGCCTGCTGAACTGCAGATTGGCAGGAAGCTGAATAGTCCGATGGATAAAGTTCTGAAAGGCAGGATTTTATCCCCTGATGAGCCTGCATATGACGTTGTGCATCATCTCACACAACTGAAAACAGACGTGGAGGAAAACATGAAAAAAGCAAAGAAGAGGCAACTGAGGAACTACAATAAAAATCGCCGCCACGTTGATTTCAAACCCAAACAGAGAGTGTGGGTTAGGAATTTCCCTCTGTCTAAGGCTAAGGACAAATTCACAGCTAAATTAGCAAAAAAGTGGAGAGGTCCCTACCGTGTAGTTCAACAGCTTGGCCCTCTGAATTACCAAGTTGTTCTGGAGGACACAGGTTTGGATGCAAGGACTGTGCATGTCTGCAACCTGAAACCTTTCTACCCCAGTGCGGAGGACTTGGAGGTCATGGAAAGGAAAAGAATAATGGACCTGCTACAGGAAAGCTCAGGAGAAGAAGATTTTTTAGGGTTTTAGTTTGAAGACTGAGTTTCCAGTATACACGGTCTCATCAAGGGGGGAGAGTGTGGCAAGAAGGAGAGTGAGGCAGGCCTCCCTCCTCAGAGGTAAGGGGAGGGGCTTGCCACTCATCAGAGTAAGTGAATGCACCTGAGTGCTGAGAGAAGGAGAGAGCAGACAGACAGTGCAGGGCCAGGAGAGAGGTGACAGGAAAGTGAGACAAAGAAAAGTTTGTGAGCTGACTGGAGAAATAAAACTGAAAGGACACCAGCAACGGAGAAACCCCCCCGGAGTGTGTGGAACCGACCGTCTCAAGGGTCAATGGTCAGGCACTCGGAGCCTCCTCATTCTGGAGTAAAACCTTGACTGTTAAACCAGCTCAGATAAGTTGACGTTACTTGTTTCCCGGCTTTCCCCGTCCTCTTGGTCCCTGTCTGGATTCCCTGTTCCCTTCCACCTCCCTCCCCCCATACACCTACAACACTCCACACCACATACCAACAAACTTGAACTGGACTCTTTTTTTTTCCACATACACCCACATAGCATTCCCCCCACACACACACGTCACTCACACACTTACATTTTGGACATATACAAAAGAACTGGACTTTACACACACACACACACACACACACTCATTTATTTTCTCATTTTTGCTATTTTTTAAGGATCTTGGGACTATTATTTAAATTTGTATTTGGTTTTTGTTGAATGCGGTTTTGTGCTGTTTTGATTAATTTGTTTGTCCCTGTTTTGCTTTATTGAACATTTAACTTTGATAAAAAGTATTTTTTTTTTACACTCGAATCTTTTGTTGAAATTTTGTAGCAGGGGTATCGATCGAGCTAGTCGTATTTTCTTTAGAATATTTCTGTAGATTAAGTCTCAGGGTATTTTGATTTTTTATAAATTCATGATAGGATGATTAGTTCCCCTGTCTGGCGCCCAACTCCAAACCTAACCTGAGCCCTCTTTTTGAACCCCTACGCTACACAACTTTTGGTGTGGTTTCGACAACTCTGCAGTTTTAATGTCATGTGTGTCTAAACCCCACCCCCCAGGTCAGCGATGATAGTACCTTACCCGGGATTTCCACCACATCTGAAACGGCTCTGATCCAGAGCGGCAGCGATTTTCGCCGTCCGCCAATTCCTTCTGGATCCGTTTGTGAGGCGAATTTCGTGGCGGATTACAGACAGCAGTAATCACGAGAACTCACAAGAACCCGTGGATTCACATGCAATTGCACGACAACGAGTTGTCTTTAGCCACTTAGGCTAACCATATAAGCAATAGATTGTGTCCTTTCAGAGGAGGAAATCTACTTCTAGACCTCTAGAATCAGCATCTCCTCATCCATGGTGTCAACGGGGTGAAATGATGTCTGGGAACCGTTCACTTGTTCGTCTCTGTCCAGTTGCATGGTGTGAAATACGATCCTCCTGAAACACGGATTGTTTTATTTTGAAAAGAAGCCGGATGTTTTATTTTGTGTCCGTGCCCGACTTCCTTTCCAGCACGGGTTAATCCGTGCTGAATTTATTCAGTATGCGCCGGCGTCCGGAAAAAATAGAACTCTTGTGATCAGCTGTGGAGTCTGGCGATCCGCAGAGGAACGGAAAGAAGTCAGTGGAAATTGACACGTTAACTTGAATGGTTACGATCAGCTACGATCAGAGGATACAACCTTTTTGTAGACATTCAGGATGCGGTGGAATTTGGGGGTTAGAGGTTTTTTTTGGCTCTTGACTTGGAACAAAAGTTTGAGGGATCTGGGGCCTTATGTATCAATACCTGCGTGGAACTCATACCAAAAACGAGCGCACGCAAGGTCCGTCACGCTGAAAAAAATCCGTATGTATCAATGTGTGCGGGCGCCGAAATCCACGTGTGTTTCCTTGATAAATCCCAATCAGCGTGGAATTGACCGCAGATGTCGGAGTGACTGGGCCAGCCCCCGTTATGCCCTCCTATAAATATGCAGATTTATTTAAATAGGGTCTCCCTGTCCTCGCACGCAGACAAAATGACAAGAAAACCTAAATTTACGGCGTGCGAGGTGGAGGTGCTGGTGGTGGAGGTGGAGGTGGAGGAGCGACAGCGTGTTTTGTTTGGCAGCCTGTCCAGTGGCGTCGGTGCAAAACGAAAACGCTTGGAGTGGGAGAAAGTTTGTCAGAGGGTGAACGCGGTGGGTTCCGAGACACGCACCCCCGCGGATATTCAAAAAAAGTGGTCGGACCTCAAGATGGAGGTCAAGCGGCGTACAGCTGCCCTCCGGAGGAGTACCGGCCAGACAGGTGGGGGTCCGGGGGAGGAGACCCTCACGCCGTTTGAGCAGCGGGTGGTGGCGATTATGGGGGGAGCCTCTGTGGGGGGGATTGTCGCCGCTACCCGCGGCGACTCAGACAGCCTGCCGGAGGGTAAGTGGCGTGTCACACAAATGTCCACATGCTTTGCCATAGATGTAAACGCAACAGATACACAGAAGCAGGAATTGAAATGAACCAATATTTTTATTGTGTCACAGAAATCAATGTGTCAGCCGTGTCGCCGGCTTGTGGAACCCCGGCCCGCGGCAGCCAGTCCGCCGGCTCGGAGTCGTCGGCCAGGACCAGCGGCATTCGGGATGCCCCCGGCCCCAGCACCAGCACCAGCGCGCCGACAAGCGATGGAGCGTCCACCAGCCGCGGCGCTTCCGCTGGACCACCCGGACGCAGTGGAAGGGTCCTCACGGAGGCGGTCCTGCAATCACAGGAACAAATAATTAGGGGGATCACAGGGATCAACGAGCGGCTGGACCGCCTCGTAAATGTCCTCGAGCGTCTGGTGGACAAAATAAAATAATTTGGCTCATTAAACTGTGTATTCACTTCTTACCCATTCACATTGTGGTGATGAGAATCTCCCGCGCGAGGACGGCGGCCCGGCAGGGATCAGCTCGCATCCCTCCGTCTGCTTCTGGTTCATCATGTGGGGCAACGTGCTGCTCAGCCATGGGGATGTGGTGCAGGTGTGCCACATTGTGGAGGACGCCACACGCCATCACAATGCGGCACACCTTCTCCGGACGATATAGAAGCACGCCGCCACTCCAGTCCAGACAGCGCCACTGACCCTTTAACTGGCCGATGGCCCTCTCCACCACTGACCGAGAGCGAGAGTGGAGATGGTTGTACCTCCGCTCTTGGTCAGTGTGGGGGTTGTGGAGAGGGGTCATCAGCCAGGTCCTGAGGGGGTAGCCACTGTCACCTTCAGAAAAAGCACAGTGTGTTAAGTCTTGGGCTTGATGCGTTGTAATAATAGCAAGCAATAAGCAATCAATAACCCACAACATCCATCGAGTACTCGCAATCAAACACAGAGTACAATACATCAGTGTTGCACACATTTGGTTCAAGTCACTGATGCACGTCGAGTTTCTTGAATAACATTATATCATTACATATTTACTCACTCAGCAGCCACCCGTCTGTCACTGCACCTGCCTGGAGCCTCTCCCCAACAGTGCTGTTGTACATGATGTGCGAGTCGTGCGTTGAACCGGGCCACCTCGCAGCAATGTTAAGCAGATTCATCTGTGCATCACAGATGATCTGCACATTGATGGAGTGAACGCCTTTGCGGTTAACGTAAGCGTACTCGTCATGGGACGGCGCTTTTATGGCAACATGAGTGCAGTCAATAGCTCCGATTACGTTTGGGAATCCGGCTATTGCTGCAAATTGCGTTTTAATATTGGCCTGTTCAACCGCACCATAGGGGAATTTAATATACCTGTTAGAGAGGCGGATCAGCTGGTCCACCACCGTAGGCATGGCCCGGCTGATGGTGGACTGGCTCACCCCAGCACGATCCGCCATCTCCCGCTGGAAGGACCCTGTGGCCAAGAAGCCGAGTGTGCCTAGCACCAGCGTTGGCAGGGGCACCGCTCGGCTTCTGGCCGTTGATCGCTGGAGCGCCGGGCAGAGCTCCTCGCACAGCTCCAAAAGGATGGCCCGCGGTAGCCGGAACCGGCTAATGAGCCACTCATCGCTGTTCTGGAGCAGGTCCTCCCGCTCCATAAAATGATGCTCACGTCGGATGGCACGGTTTTGTAAATCTTCGATCAGCGCAAGTGCTGCCATTGTTGAATGTTGTCTTCTCTATGTGTAGTTGTATGCGCTCTTTTATAGCCCCTCCAGTAATACCGACAGGTGTTCGTGTTTGTGTTAATGTGTTACAAATTAACACAATTAACACACGAACAGCTGTCGGATTAACAATTAATCCACTGCAATGTGTGGACGCTTGTCACATAGTGAGTCACTAAACACCGCCACACAGCGTCGCCAAAGTGCCGTCAACGCAAATATCAGCTCAACGCCAATTTCTACACTACCTCCTGACTTTGCGTTGATTAGCGCTGGAACCGACGCTCGTTTCGCGATGATAAATCTGGACGTGTGCGCCGATTTTGGCGTACGCAAGGTTTCTTGCGCCGCAAGCGTTGATACATAAGGCCCCTGGTCTTTGGATTTGATGCTCCTGGCATGTCAGTGATTAGTTTTGACATCAGGATGGTTTTTTCTCACTAAACCAGGATCCTGTCAGTCTCAGGTGTGGTTAATGAGTCCGATGTTGTCTGAGACACCTGCCTGTTTGTTTTCTTTGTAATCTTTCAGGTGTGATCTCAGGTGTGTTTGTTTTTCCCCTCTTGACCTTGTTTTTCTCTCCGCTCACCTGCTCGTCATCTGCAATCATCACACCTGTCTGTCATCAAGTCAACACTTGTGCACAGAAACCAGTCTCTGCACAGTCCTGTCTCTGTTTCTGCTGCAGTTTGGAATTGTTTTTCCCTCAAAGAGATCAAACCGCTCTCCTCCAGCTTTTAGATCATTTCTAAACGATCTCATTCATTTAGATAAACTCTCTACGAACTCAAACCTCCTGAAACAGACTCAGACTTCTCACAAGTCCAGAAGCTTTTCTTTGAATCTTGGATAAATCACTATTTTGTCTCTTGAAACAGAAACCGTGAGCACCAAACCACCATGAAAACGTGGTGTACCAGCCTCTCTTTGTTCGCTCACACTCTCATCACCCAGAGTTGTGAGCTCCACATGCATCTCGTTTGCATTTCGCTCAGTGTGAAACCATCAACATCAAACAAAGACGAGGAAACGTGACTAAACAGAGAACAGCTTCTCAGGGTGTGAAAACCAGAGAGTGGCGAACAGATGGGCTGAATCCAACCAGTGGGTCATGTTGCACAATAACTGGAAACATTTGGAGCGGGAATGCAAATTTAGTCAGCTGGTGCGTTGAGCACCAAACTGTGATGCCAAACAGCTGCCATTTTTAATAAAGAGCTGTAATGAAACCGTGTGCATGTAGCATGTCATGATGAGACCACCTGGAGGTCGCCGCTACATCATCGCTAGAGGTATTAAGTGTGTTGTTTCACTGAGTCCTCCTAATCTGGCGGTCTCTGCTGATTCTCTTTAGAGTTTTGGTGTAAAATGGTCCAAATGAGCTGAGAGGACTTTTCTGTTCAAGCTTATCCTCACTTTCCAAAATCTGAAGAAGTGATCCAACCACCACCTGCAGGGAGAGCAGACAAAACTGAGAACACATCTTTATTCAACCAGAAGTTCAGGGTGACCATACGTCATCTTTTACATGGACATGTCCTCTTTTGGAAGGGCTGTCCGGCCTGTCCAGAGGGAGACCGTTCCGGATGCAGTGGAAATCCCGGGTTAGATGGACCAACCTCAGAGAGTGTCCGAGCCCAGCCCATCAACTAAAGTCCAACATGAGAACGTTCAAGCTGGAATGTTCTCAAAATCCAAAATCAAGCTGGATCCAAAATCAGATCAACAAAAACAAAAATCAAGTGGACGAAGTCCAAAGTCTGGTCCTGATGTAAGACTAACAGGTCTAGACCTGTAAACGTGGTTTTGTCATTTATAGGTCTTCCATGATCGAAGTTTCTGACCTCAAGGAGCGTGATTCACTTCGCTGACCCGTGATTGGGTAGTTTGGTCACATGTCCAAATAATGGTAAAGCATTGTACTCTCATAAAAGAGTGATCGGGGTAAAAAGAAGCTGCCTCTCTCACTCTCTCTCTCTCACTCACACACTCTCTCTCTCTCTCTCTCTCTAACTGTGAGTCAACCTCCTTATTTCTGAAACAACATGTGAAGTTCTCTCCTCGTTTTTTTCCTCCTGTTATTTTAGTTTGAAAGGTCAGCTCATATCTGCATCGTGATGGATAGACCCCGACGCTATCTCTTCCTTTTTCCATGGTGGTTACCATAACAGCAGAATATCAAGACACACAGGGAAAGAGAGAGAGAGATAGAGAGAGAGAGACAGAGAGAGAGAGAGAGAGAGAGAGAGAGAGAGAGAGAGAGAGAGAGAGAAAATAAGACTCCACTTACTCAAACAGATGCTGACTCAGTGGATCCATGTCCTGAACTCATCCCGATGAGCAAAGTGCACGTACCCCAGACCGGCACCAAACCTTTGCCCCCCCATGACCAAAGAGGAGACCAATCCAAGAGGAGGGCTCCAGTTTATAATCTCATTTAATAAATAAAAAGTCTGAGATCAAGTTTTCAGTCAAGAGAAAGAAATCCGGGACAGAAACCCAAATCAAGCCAAACAACACCCAGATCCAGGTCTGTAATGAGACCAACATTTATGAACTACCTGAGACGGACCAGGACAAGAGTCAGGACCGGTTCAAATCAAGAACAAGTCCAGAGTCAAACCCTTTTTTCTTTCAAGTCTGGTTCCAGTTCAAGTTCAAATCTGTCCCAGAAAAAAAAAGGATGTTGGCAAAAACTGAGCCCAGAAGTCAGAGCAAGAATTCCTGATTCAAGACCAGTATAGAAGAAATCAGGAAGAGCCCAAAGTCAGACCTGACATAGTCCAGTTCCAAGTCTAGAAATTATCCTCTTGTCAAGACCTGAGTCCAAGGAGAAGACCAACTAGTGCGGGGTCAAATCCCACATCAAGACCAGCGAATCTCCAGTGAGGAAAACTGTCTGCGAAAGTCTGCGAGAAACCCGGTCTAAGAGAAGGCCAAAACGTTAAAGAGTGCAAAGAAAGGTCCGACAAACAGGCTTCAGCTGGTTTCAAGTGAAGTTTCTTTCAGTTAACCAAAAAAGAACCAGTTTGAACAAGTGTGAACCAGTTTGAGTTTGAATCAGTTTAAACGAGTCTGGATCAGTTTGAACCAGTTTGAGTTTGAATCAGTTTAAATGAGTCTGAATCAGTTTGAATGAGTCTGAATCAGTTTGAATCAGCTTAAATGGGTTTGAATCAGTTTGAGTTTTAATCGGTTTGAATCAGTTTAAATAAGTCTGAATCAGTTTGAATCAGTTGGAGTTTGCATAAGTCTGAATCATTTTGAGTCTGGATTAGTTTAAATGAGTCTGAATCAGTTAGAACCAGTGTGAATGAGTCTTAATCGGTTTGAATGAGTTTGAGTTTGAATCATTTTGAGTTTGAATCAGTTTGAAACAGTTTAAATGAGTCTCATTCGGTTTGAATCAGTTTGAGTTTGAATCAATTTGCCCCACTGACTCACTTTTGCATTATCAGCTTCACTCTCTATTATCATACATCTGTACAGTCCTATTTTTGTGTCTTTTCTACATCCTTTGTTTCTATCGTTAAAATCAGATCTAGCCATTTCGGCTCTTCAAACTGGACCATCGCCTTATAATGACTGAAAAAATGTTCCTGTCGGTTTGATAGCATGTCTGAATCCTCGTTCCTCTTTTGAACATCTGTGTGGTTCGTTCTGAGTCCATTTCTGAAATTTGACATGAGTGTCCATTAAAGCAGCTGTAGGTGACGTGGACCCCTTCAACAACAGCAGACGCTGAATCAATTAGGCTGCTCGGACAGATGGAAAATGTTGCGCATCTTGAATGGTCCTCAGAAATCTGTTGCGACACTTGCAGCTGCCCGCACACGGAGACAACCAGGATCTCATTATCATTACAGAAAATGTCAGAGCCAATCAATAGTCGCCTTTGGTGTCCTGGCTCTA